GCGTATTCTCCAGACCGCCCCCTCCCCTCCAGGCTCAGCTGTGAGTCACCAGAGACCTGGTTAAGGCAGGGCCCGTGAGGGAGCGGGGATTCGAGGATTGTTGATGGAGCCCAGCTGTTGTAGATGAGAAAGCAAACTATTGCTAAATCTCTTACCTACTTTGGAAAAAGTGTCTTTAGTATGGGTATGGGGGGCGGCTCTAGAAACAAAATGCATGAATTATGAACCCGATTTAAGTTTCTAAAGTGATTGTTTTAAAGTTAGAAAGAACCTGAGTCACTATAGTAAGATTTTGTTCGACTGTTTTCGAAATCAGCAGGCAAATCAATTTTTTTCCTTCCTTTTTCTAGAGACCTGGGTTGAATTTGCTTTCTGGGCACTTAAGTCCTCTAAAGCACAGACATGGTCTTTTTGCATAAATAACTTGTATGTGTTCATTCCCAGAGGAAGTTGTTCGCATAAGCAAACATCAACCAGATATAAGTTTAACCTGTTTAATCTTCCCCTCCACCCTGAACAAGGACATACCAGGCTTTCCAAAATCCAGGCAAAACTCCAGTTCTCCGACCCAGAAAAAGCCTGGCCTCACTCTCCACCTCCAGCTCAGCACTCAGGCCTGGCAGGCCACCGGCTGCAGAAAAGATCCTCCTCCCCTTCCCCACCCAAGCAGTTCTGTTTCCCAGCGAAAAATCGGACCTTCAGCTGCAACCACAGCCACGTGATCCACTCGGTGACTCTCAGGCAGGCCACACCCCTTCAGGCCTCTGGGCCAGGCCCTGCCACCAGCCAGCCAACTCTGGGATGCATCTTATTACCAAAGCGAACAGCTAACTAATGCCCTTGACAGTCCCAATAATTACTTTCTTTCTGTTAGAACTTACTTATAAAATATATACAGGCATGAGAGGACGCAGGCTCTTCTGAACTCTGGCTCTGCCAGCTCTCCAACCCCCACCATCCCAAGACCTGGGAGTGAATGCCTGCTGTGGTTAGCTGGGGGGAGCTAGAAAGCCAGACATTCCTGTTTAAAAAGAAAAGCTCTTACACGTTAATACCTTTTTTCCCAAAAGTTTTATTGGGGGAAAACTACAAAACATTTACAGTACAATGTTTACAGTCACAATTTGTAGTGAACTGATTCCCCAAAATATATTACAACTCAAGTTGACTTATCTTGTACATTCAAAAACCTACTTCTGTCAAAGTAGTCCAGAGAGTACATATAGTGCTCCACCTGTACCTACGTACAAACTAAAGCTACCGCTCATTCATCTGCTGTCCAGGAAAGCTTAGGAAACATTCCTGCCTTTCTACATGAAAAAAAAAAAAATAGTACAAGTTTTGGAATTTTCTGTAATTAAACAAGGCATATTCATGTACTACATACTTCAGCACTAAGAGGCGGTTGCTTCACTTTATATAAAAAAAGTGGTAAAAATCTATTCCTTTTGTGCAGTTGAACCCATCCTACATTCAGATTCTCTCAAAGCACTAATAAAATACTTATTTGGTTGAGGAAGATTTAAGGCAAGTTCGGGCCCTTCCAAGGCACTGTGAGACTCCCCCCCGACTCCCCGTTATTGCTACATGTCTTTATTCTCGAGTATGTCACAGTAGAACTGGTGGAATAAGCAAACACTTTTTTTGCTAGTTTATAAAGTTGGAATTAGAAAAGCGTGCCACATCTCAGCCTGATTGCAAAGTATTCGGTCACTTTTTCCTTTAAAGTTGGATGGGCTACAACCTTTATACATTCTAAGAAAACTCATAGGATGTTCCTCAAACTACTTCCACAGCATCAAGATAGATTTCTGTCAAGAAATCATGCAATCTTTCAAAATTTACGTAAACAAGAAAAGAAATTAATGAAATAAATATTACATACAATCTCTTAAATTAAGAATTTTGTACTCATTTACAATAAAATAACCAAGTGAAGTTACAAAAGGCATATATTACTGTGAAAAGAACATACACTCCACATTTTGCCGATTAATAATGGCAATCATAATTTAACATAATAAAAGAATATATATCTATTGCTTTTCATCATACTTGATAAATACAGTATGAACAAAATTTTCAATGTATACTTTTCACAAGATAATAAATAAGTTAAATAGTTTTTTTCATATTGAGTTGTGGTGCAGTGGTGCTAATCAACTCAAAACAGCTAAAAATTCAGCAGTTATTCTCCAACAATTACAAAGTAAGCTCTGCCCAAGGCTTCCAGAGGGAGCAGACAAAATGGTTCTAAACTAAATATCCACTAAGTGGTGGCAATGAAACCAGTAACCAGTATGGACCTTTGGAATGCAAGGGTTTTTTTTTTTTTTAAAAACCCCCAGACATACATAACTCTGTTAAAAAACAAACAAACAAAAAAAAAAAACACCACATATGGGCTGAGGAATAACTATCAAGGCATATTCCTGGCAGAATATTGGATTCTAAAAAGCTTATAGATTTAGCAAGGTGGTGGCTGGCTAGCTTGTTTACACCAGTCTGAGACAAACAATTAGGAACTTCTTCCAAGAGGAGAGTTCCCACATCTGGACTTAACTAATGCTGTTCAAGTGAAGAGATGGAATGGTGGTTGATGGCTGCTGGTGCTGGGTTGATTTTTCCTGAAGTCCCAAACTCATTGGAGTCCTAAAAAAAGTTTTAAGTGTTTTTTTGTTTTTTTTTTTTTTTTTTGTTCTACTCGTATCACAACTGCCCTGTTGTGAATATTTTGTTCAATACAAAAAGTTTGTCAACGTTTTTGCTCAAAAGAATGAAACTTCATAATAAAAATAAAAAAACAAGAGGAAACCGAAAAAGGAGGAGTGGGGGCCCCTCCCAGCACAGAGTTCGAGTCCAAGTGCTGGTCGGGCTTGCAGTCTGCCTGGGGCCCATGTCACCCCCCACGCTCCCGTGCCCCCAGCAGGGGCGAGATGGTGAGGGGTGTCCTCCAGCATCTCTGAACCGCCTTCCCTTCCTTCCTCCTCACTGGCGCCCTCTTGCCTCAGTCGTCGGAGATGGAGAGGCGGCTGAAGATGGGCAGGCGGCGGCCGGGGTCGAGGCTGGGGGACTCGGAGCCGCTGAGGCTGCCGGAGCTCAGGGAGCCGCTCAGGTAGCTGTCGCGGTCCGACAGCGAGTCCGGGGGGCTGGGAGGCGCGTCGAACACGGGCGAATCGGACAGGCGGCGCGGCAGCTGGAAGCTGAAGGGCGGCGAGGGAGGCGCGGCGGCCCCGGCGGGGAGGGGCGCGTTGGGCGGCGCCGGGGGTTGCGCGGGGGGCGCCAGGCCCTGCTGCTGCTGCTGCTGCTGACTGCGGTAGTAGGCGGCGGCGGCCACGGCGGCGAAGTTGTGGGTCTGGATGGCGAGCGGCGTGATGAGGCTGCTGAGCTCCGGGCCAAAGGCGAAGGCGTTGTTGGCGCAGGAGGTGGACGAGCAGGCTGCGCAAGGGGGCCCCGGTGCCAGCAGGTCCTCGGCGCCCCCGGTGCCGTAGAGCAGAGCGGCCGCAGCTGCAGCCGCCGCGGAGGCGCAGCACGTCGGGGCGCCCGAGGGCGTGGAGGCCGCGGAGGCCGAGGAACAGGAGGAGGCGGAGGAGGAGCAGGACGAGGCCGAGGAGCAAGAGGGCGGCGGCGGCGTGCGCGACGTGGGGCTGTCCAGCAGCAACGGCGACTCGAGGCCGCCCGGGGGCTGGTGGTGGCCCGACGGGAAGCCCGAGAAGCTGAGGCTGTGGTGCAGCTTAGGCCGCGGCTCCCGCGGGAAGCCCAGGTGCAGCGCGTCCCGCGTGCCAAAGGCGCGCAGGTCCCCGGAGGCGCCCCCCGACGGCGCGGGCCGCCGCTCATCTGCGTTGTGGATGAAGTGGCAGCGCGGCCCGTAGGGGCAGAAGCCGATGGTGTGGAAGGTGCGGCACAGCTCGGTCTTGTACTTCGGGTGGCGAGTCAGACTGCGCAGCTCGTGGAAGCCGTGCGCGAACTGGCACTTCTCGCCGTACTTGCAAGTGCCGCTCTCCTCGAAGGGCCGGCACAGCTCGGTCTTGTAGCGCGTGGAGTTGATCTGGGAGCCGCCGCCCCCCTTCTGCTGCTGCTGCAGGTGCAGGAGGTGCTGGCTGCGGTCGCCGTTCTCGCTGAAGGAGCGGTCCCGGAATTTGTTCTCCTTGTTGAGCAGGGCTGTGCCGCCGCCCCCCGACGGCTCCTTAAGGGCGCCGTAGGAGGCCGGGCCCCCGGCGGCCGCGCTGCCGCAGCTGCTGCCGTTAGCGGCGCCCGGGAACTTGGGCGAGCAGCTGCCGGGGCTGGGCGCAGGGTGGGCGAGTGCATGCAGGTTGCTGGCCGAGTGCCGTCGGAGGAAGCCCGGCGCGAAGCCCGAGCTTGGGGCGGCGGCCACGGGCGTCCCCACCGCTTTCTTGTCCAGCATGTTGTTCAGGTTGAGGTTGGCCAGGGATTTCTCCGTCTGCCAAAGGGAGGGGAGCGGGGAAGGGATGAAAAACGGAAGGGGAAGACAGACTCCGGGCGAGCTGCAGAGGAACTCCCAGCCCGATTCTTTCCTCTTTTTTGCCCCCCTCTTGGCAGATCTCGACTCGGCCTCCACCCCCACCCATACACGCGCAAAAGCAGCAAGATCCCGCTGGAAGGAGCGGGAGAGGGGAGGACGCCCACCGCGGGCCGCGCTGGGTTTCGACACGTGATCCTTCGCCCCGGGCGGCCGAGGTGGGCGGCGCGAAGCCCGTCCGGGAAGCCCCGGGCAGCGTGGCCGCAGTCCGCAGTGGAGAAACTCAAAGCGACAGCGGCGCCCTCCCTGCCGCTCTCCCCGCCTCCAGGGCGCTCGCACACTCTTTTGCAAACCCTGGGACTTTCCCGACCCAAAAGGCAGGGCGGGAGGGGGGGTCCCCAGGACCGGGGGACAGAGGCAAAGTCCGAGAACTGAACTGCTGCTGCCGGCCCGGCCCGCTCCCCTTCGTACCTTGCACAAGAAGTCGACATCGTAGAAGGCGGACAGAAGTGTGGTCGACATGTTTCTGGATCCCGCAGTGGCCGGAGCGGCAGGCAGGGCGGTCGGGAGGAGCCCTCGGGGCGGCGTGGCCGGGCTAGAGCCACGACGAATAACGGGCGAGGGGCGGGGAGAGGCCGAAAGTTTGCCGGGGGGCGAGAGGAGAGGGCGAGGGCAGCGGCGCGGGCCGGCGGGAGGGTCCGGCGGAGTGCGGCTGGGGGGAAGGAGAGAAGCTAGGAGCGCTCCTCCGCGCCCCGGGGTGCCCGGCCCGCCCCCCCCCGCGGAGCCGACGGCAGCTCGCGGACTGCTGGAACTCGGCGGCCCGCAAGCGCGCGTCCTATATAGAGCCCGGGGAACTGCGGCTGCCGCTGGGCGGGCGCGCCGGGGGAGGGGACAGAACGCGGCCCCCGCCGGGGTCTCCAGGCAACGCCGCCCGCCGGCTGGCGGACGTCAGGCGCCTCCCGGCCTCCCATTGGCCGCCGCCAATTTTTTTCCTCCGAGGGAGGGGGCGGGAGGCCTCGGGGCGGGGCCGGCGGCCGGAGCGGCGTGGAGCGCTTGGCCCCAGTGGGTGCCGCCGAGTGGCGGCGGGAAGGCACGGCTCTCTTCTTCGGGGGCTGCGCAGTCGGAGATCCCCGGTGCGTTTAGCGTGGCCGGGATTCTGCACCCCCAGACGTGTCTTTCCCTGCCCTGTTCTCCGAGGCTGACCTGTGGAGCTTTTAGCTCCCACCTTCGGTTTTGTGCTGGGCGCGGGAATTGCAAAATGCCAGAATATCGCAACCGTCCGTGCGGCCCGGCGTGTTTGCAAAGGGTGCTTCCGGCCAGGAGGCGAGGGCTCGGGGCCTGCGTCCCATCGGTGGCTGCTCCAGCCCGACTGCACGTGGAGTCGCGGTGGGGGTGGGGGCAGCCACGCGGGCGGCCGCCGCGGCAGTCTCGCCCGAGGAGCCCGGGCTCGTTTCTCCGCCCCCTCCCCGCCCAGGCTCAGTAAACAGGGCTTGAGTGCCGGGGCCTGCCGGGCAGGGCTGAGTGTCTGAGGACAAGGCGCTGGCTTTGCTAATCACATCACAAGACCTTGAGCCAGGGCCAAAGGCGCGGAGTGGCGCGGGGCGTCCCGGGCGGGGGAGCTGACTCCGAGGACAGGAGGAAGGGCCGGGAGAGCGCGCAGGCATGAGGCGACTTAGCGCCACCCTTTCCGTCTGCTGGTTGGCTCGGCCTTCCCCGGCCCTCCAGGGCTGGGGGTGCAGCTGCCCGCCGAAGCTCTCCGCCCGGCATAGCCTGGGCCTGTTGCGCCCTCCCAGCCTCTTCCCTCCCCGGCCGTGGGGGCGCCGCGCCCAGCCTTCGCTGGATGACGGCTGCAGGGTCCGGTGGGGCTGCACAGACGCAGATGGTGGGCGCGCCCCTCTCTGTTTTCCCTCTCTCGCCAGCCCCACACCCCAACAGCTTGCGCTGGAAAATGCGCTTTGCCAGCGGGCGCCCCGCCCTCGTCCGGGTATAGAGCAGACACCCCCATCTAGTGCCCGGTGAGGCTAAAGCCGCTGACAGCCCCACTCAGAAAGATCCTGGAGTCTGGTCTAGGACACTTATCGCTTCGCGTTCATACAGGTTGCCAAAAAGCTTGGGCCTGAAGCGGGAAGGTCCAGGACCCTCTGGTGAAAGAACTAGGCCTGCCATTCAGGGATTCGAGTCCCTGGAGTGTAGCCTGCATTTCCCACTACTGTACTCCCCTGACGGCCCAGGGAGCCAGAGTCCAGGGTAAGGATCAGGAATACTGGGCTGGAGTTCAGGCCCTGCCCCTTAGAAATCATGTGGTCTTAGGCAAATCGCATCATCTCTTTGGTACTTGGGTTTCCTTGTCAAACAAAGATCATATTCCTGCTTGACTCATCCCTCACGCCTGTCAAGGTGCAAATGGTGTTCGTGAAGGTGTTTAAAAGACAAACAAGGACTAAACCATCTTTATGTATTAAACCAAATTGACAACGCGTAGAGGTGGAGAAAGCCAGGCTTTTGAACTACGGCCAGATGGACGGAGCCAGTCAGGAGTGCAGAGCTGTGGGGGCACCCAAATCCTGAACCTTAGGACTCAGAGCCAAGAGGACCAGTTTCACTTTTAGCGCCTACCTTACACTGGCCCCTTGACAGACCTGGGCAACTGTGGTCTGGTTTGTTCTTTGGCGAGATGACCCCAAACATCTTACCAAATGGTGTGAAACAGCCACTTCCCTAGGCACTTCCATTAGGTTAGTAACAAGATTGCAGATACAGAACCAGTGAAGCATCTGTTTGAATCAACGTCCAAATCTGGGGTGACTCCCAGTCAACAGCTGTGAGAACACCCACTTTGTGGATGAGGTAGGATTCTGGAGGTAATATGTGGACGTGTTATGGGACATGCTTGTGTACAGAGTACCTGCTAATATAAAATTCATGATGTAGCTGCTTTTATTTCATTTTAAATGGAGAAACAAGAAGTGCTGGTCATTTCCAATGAGCTGGGCTTTGCTGGGCCAGTTTCATAATTATTCTCCTATTCTCCTGTGGTTATCACCACATTTATGCCACCAAGTCCCTGACTTCTCATCAGCCAGGTCTTAGAACAAAAAGTGTTAGGTTGGCAACTTTCCATCAGGTGTGGGCTACACAGCTGCCTAACTAGGTAATTAGTTCAGGATCACAAAAACCACATTTGGGGCCAAGTGGTTGCAAAACCTCCCAGAGAATTTCCTGTTCTCTTTAGGACAAAACTTTGGACACTGAGCTGCTCTCCTATCTCTTCCACCAAAGCCCTTTTCCTATACTTCCAGTACGGCTGCTTTTTTGTTCTTAAATTCCTCTTTCTTTTAGTGAAGGGGTTTTGCTGTGTTAGGCTGGAGTACAGTGGCATTTCACAGGCATGAACTCCTGGGCGATCCTCCCACCTCAGCCTCCTGAGTAACTGGGATTACAAGTGTGCACCACCATTCCTGGCTTACAGCTGCGTTTTTAGTGTTAGGTGTATTTCTCTCAAAAAGAGATGAATTAATTTGAAATATGAACTTTTCTGCAGTAGGAAATGATCGTAACTCTCTCTAACCTGCTCCTTCAGACTCTGAAACACCAATGAAATTACTCTATGTGATCATTCACCTGAGTATTGGAAATTTTTACAGACTCTAAAATCTGGAGCAACTTTATATACTATGATTGAAATGGTTTTTTTCAGATCTGTAGGATGGAAAATGAATGTGGATGAGGCTACGACCCATCCAAACTGTGATTCTCAAGATGACTTATTCTGAGTTATTCTGGGCAACACTTATTCTGAAATTATAAATTAAAAATGGTGAGCCAATGAAAAACTGGACCAGCAGCAAAACGTATGCAAGAGCGCCACCTGCTGGGTGTGTTAGCAAAAGGACAGGGCTGGGCTTGAAAAGGCAGAAACATTAAGGTTTCTAGATTATCACTGCAAGGGATAAATGTGTTTAATGGCATCTTAAGTGAGAATCTTGTTACTGCCACCAAGCAGATGATAAGCAAACAATGTAGGCATGGAATAAGTCATTTTCTCTGGCTGTCCTTTCCCCAGGCTCCTCCTCACAGCTGAGAGCATGGATAGAATTTCACTGGGTGGCAAAATCAGGTTTCCTAGCATTAGCATACTTTTTGGGGGCTGGGGGAGCTCTCAATGGCTCTTTTAATAATTAGGATGGAATGTGTAGGTCACTGCAGGACTTACACATGCAGACAATAAAAATAAATTATTTGTATAAGGTTGATCCTGAACTCTCCCAGGATCCAACATTTGGAACATATTTCTGCTTTGCTAAAATGGAACAAAATTTATAAATCTGACCAAATGGGCTGTTTGCCAACTAATCCATCCCCTAAATAGAGCCAGAAAATGGGAGGGGGGAGGCATCATGTGTGTGCTAAAATGTAGTCCCTTCACAGAGAACGCAGGGCAGCTATGGCAGGGCATTAGAGGCCTGGGAGATGAAAAAGGCTCATTCAGGCCTGCAGGGGCTGGGGACAGAGTAAATCTGCACCTGAGTTGCCTCACTTCCTACAGTAGCAATAAAGTGGGCTGCCCTGAATGAGTGAGCTGAAGAAAAGTTTCTCTGTAAGAAGTGACAGAAACCTGGACTCACAGAAGTAGGGGAGACATGAAGGGGATAGCATTTTTCAATTTATGTTCAACATGTTTCCTGCAGATTTAGTGGAGGAATAATCCGCACATACGCCCAATCCAATCCCCCCAATTTTCTTTCTTCAACATGCTGCTTCTGTTCTTGGAAGAGTTAACTGCCTCACTTCTGCAGGACAGTCCAAAACACTGAGAACTAGTGTGTCTTCCCCTTCCTTTCCTTCCAGAAAGGCCAGCAGCCTCAAGCAAGCCAAAGTCCTTTCCTTTTGAATGCACATTCTTGTGAATTCCACTGTCTTCACAAACTCAGCAGCTGGTGGAAGCTCTCTGAAGAGCTGAGACAGGAGGCGGCACTGCTCTGACACCATCCTTTGAAGGTGACAGAGCATCTCAGGGCTTGGGGGACGCCAGCCAGACGTGGAAAGGAGAGAGAAGAGGTGCTTGCAGAGGTATTTCACAAAGATCAGGGTCTCAGCCCAAAAGTTGACTGCTTCTTTTTCAAACAGGTAGTCTTCTTCCACCTAAATCAGATGAAAACGCTGAAAGTCAGTCTTACAGGGAATGATAACAAGCCCCAGTCCAGACCAAGCAGTGCCCTGCCAGATGCAGGCGGGGGTCCCCTCCCCCACCCGACAGAGGGCGCACTCTTGCCTGTCAACACCCATGTACACACACCACTTGCAGCCTTGAAGGTCACCTTCTATTTTCACTCACTGTATTTCTCCACCAGAGAGGAATTTTTTCCCCAGACTTAACATGACCTTGGATAAAGATGTGTTTGTGGTTCAAAGTCAGGATACTTTGGGGGACTGATGCTGATATGAGACTTCAACAAGGGAGTGGGCCCTAGAGCTTAAGGTGCAGCTGGAAATTGGAGAGGAGGGAGGAAAGGTCATCTCTGCAGCAGGCCAGAGAGGAAGGAATCGCCACACACAGGACACTAGGCTGTGTCCTGTTTCTATAACACTGCAATTCTCAAGGTCATTTTATCAGACTGTTTATCATGTCTCCACATTTCTCATAAACAGGGACAATGCTTTTTGAACCCTTGGCCTGCTGGGGATGCCAAGAAGGCCAGCTGAGTCAGACGCTGGTGGCGATGAACTTTGGTTCTCAGGATGCTTTTGCTGCCTGTCTTCATCCTCAGTTTCCCTATCTGTGACTGCACCCACCTTGGAGGGGACTAATAATTTTCTTCAAATAGGAAGTTCCCAGCAAAGATCCTAATTCTCTGAAAATGCTTCACTCTCAGACCTGACTGGGAAGTTCCAGGCTAACTCCAATACTAAACAAGCAGTCTCCATAATGAAACTCTGCATCCAGGGGCTTCTGAGTTCTCTCCCCTGACTAATCTGAAGTTCCAGGCTAACTCCAATACTAAACAAGCAGTCTCCATAATGAAACTCTGCATCCAGGGGCTTCTGAGTTCTCTCCCCTGACTAATCTGGAGGCTGACCATCAGCACCCCAGAAGTCAGCCTGTGAGTGTCCCTATGCCTGCAGGAGCACCCAGTGGGTGTCTTTCCTAGTGGTTCCTGCTCTAAGCATGCAGAAACCCACCTTCACCAGTGGGCTGAAGCCCAGCTGAGGCTGTAGGGGCTGCATCCAGCAGGTTTAGGATACTCCAACCCCACCTCCCACTCCCTGCCACCCTGGCATCACCTGATGCATGCTCTCCACACAGACCACGAGGTCGTCACTCTCTCCCAGCAGCCATCCCAGCATGATGGGCAGTCCAGGAGCCAGCTGGTCCCACTGCTGGAGCAGATCACACAGGACAGCCAGGGCCAGGTCCAGAGCGATGGAGGCATCCACCTGGCAGAGGGCAAACTCTGCAGAGACAGGAGAAAGGCGAGCAATGAATGTACCGCACAGGGCCAACCCAGGGCAGCCTGCAGGACCCTGGAACATGAAGGGCCTCAGGTAAGATCACTGCCACCAGCACGGCAGGGAAGACGATTAATCACCTTCTAAATCCTGCGATCTATACTGCTGGAATGAGTCAGGGCTGAACCCACTGTTCCCATGCCCCCCTAACTTAGCGTGGAGAGCAGTAGTCCCACCTGCAGGACTAGAGTGTTATCTCCCCTTGGCTCCTCTGGTGTCACTGGGAGGATCAGGGAAGCTTCTCCGGGATTCGACTGGTTTGCCCTTTCCCTGGAAAGCAAATCTCCTGGGCACAAGACACATCCTAGAGCAGGGCATCGGCAAGCTTTTCCTTAAAGGGCCGGAGAGTCAATATTTTAGACTTTGCAAGCCTGTACCTCCTCAACTCTGCTGAAAGCAGCCAAAGACAATTTGTAAACAGGTTGTGGCTGTGTTCCAATAAAACTTCATTTATGGACACAGAGATCTGAATTTCATGTGTCACAAAATATTATTTTGATTCTTTTCAACCAATTAAAAATGTAAAAATCATTGATAGCTCACAGGCTGTAAAAAGCATGTGTGGGCTGCATTTGGCTCCTATTTTGTTGCTCTGTTTTGGAGTTTTTGCTTTTTGGACTCTTGTCTTCCTGGGTGCCTGGGGGGAAGGGCACTGAAAGACTGCAATGGGTGCAGAAAGAGGAAGCAGGGAGCCTTGTGGAAACCATTGCTCATTTCACCATTTGACCTTAGACAGTCCTAAGTATGGGTTTGGAGGGAGGCTCAGGGGTGTTGCCACTTCCCCTAACAACTCTGCCCCTCCCACCCCAGGCCTGGAGGACATCTGAAACACGGGCCTGAAAGCCCACTGCACAGACAATGGACTTTGGTAGGCCCATCCTGCACCAATGCCTGTCTTTCAGTGACGCACTTCTGTTGAGCCCTGATCTGTCCCAGATCCACACCTCTAACTTCAGCACACAGACTTACCCTGACCATAAGCCCCCAAAGACACTTGCTTGGCACACAGGCAGACGGCTGAGGGAATGGAACAGCAGGCTGAGTTCCCCGCCCCCCAGAGTTACCAGGATAGTCCCACTAAGGGCCTAGTGAGTGCTAGGCCCTGATCAAGGGTTTTCTCCCCAGTCTTTCCAGCATCCTATGGGTTGGGTGTAACATCACCCACTTGCACACATCAAGAAATTAGAGTTGGCAACAAGTTTCATGGTACGTGCAAAGCACAGATTTTGGGGACTGGTATCAATATTCCAGAGGTTTTGATGGTGGGATCAAGGGAGTTAGTGACCCTGCAGTAGGACCAGGACTATTCATAGGTCACACAGCAGAGCCTAGTTGCATGTAAACAGCTGAAAGAACTGATCTCACCATCTTCAGAAGCCCAGGTAAGTCCCCCAGGACACCTGGCTTTTAGTGTCCCCATTCCCCATGCTCCTTGTTCTGCAGCCTGGAACCCAGATTTAAATCAGGAAACAGAAAAGAGGAGGGGGTGAAGGTGTGTTTTGGCTGTAGGTCTGAGACACGTGTTGGCTGGGCTTCTACCTACAATACAATCTCCTTTAACCTCTACCTTACTCCTTTGTGCAGTTCTCAATTGGCTGAGAATCTGTATGGAGAGGGGATACAATTAAGTGGCCTTTTTCTTTTTTCTCCTTCAACTTTTCTTTTTTCCCCCTCTGCCCCTGACAGAGTTTCTGTCGTCCGGGCGGGAGTACAGTGGCGTCACACTGGCTCACTGCAACCTCCACCTCCTGGGTTCAAGCAATTCTCCTGCCTCAGCCCCTAAATAGCTGGGGTTACACCCAGCTATTTAGGGGCTGAGGCAGGAGAATTTTTTGGGCACACCCAGAATATATTTTTTTTAACGTGCTCGGCTAATTTTTCAATTTTTAGTAGAGACAGGGTTTCACCACGTTGGCCAGGCTGGTCTCAAACTCCTGACCTCAAGTGATCTGCCTGCCTCAGCCATCCAAAGTGCTGGGATTACAGTTCTAAGCCACTGTGCCTGGCCCCTTCAACTTTTAAGTTCAGGGGTACATGTGCAGGACGTGCAGGCTTGTTACACAGGTAAGCATGTGCCACGGTGGTTTGCTGCACAGATCAATCCATCACTTAGTTATTAAGCCCAGCATTCATCAGCTACTCTTCCTGATGCTCCCTCACACCCTGCATAGGTGGCTTTTTCAAACTCCCAAACAATTAAAGACACACATGAGGACCCGCATAGGATTCAATACAGAGCAGATGCTCAGGACATCCCTGTTTATGGCTGGAGATCATGAGATCTCTTCCTTTATACCATTTGATCTAATCTGAATTCTAATATAGAGACTGGCACAAAGAAAGCATTCAATGAACAGTAACTAGTGTTACTATCGATAATGAACGCTTTGCTCCTACTGAATCCTTAAATTGCTCCTGCCATACTATAAGGGAGGTATCCCTATTTATCCAATAAGGAAACTGCGTTCATAAAGGTTAGGTAACTGGTCCAAGTTTGCTGGTAGCTGTGGTGCTGGGCTAAGTCTATCTCCAGTGCACAGACTGCCCCTACCCTGCAGGGAGAAAATGGAGGTGAGTAAGTCAGACTTGGTTGTATCATCTTTTTTTTTTTTTTTTTTTTTTTGAGACAGGGTCTCATTCTGGCACCCAGGCTGGAGTGTAGTGCCTTACTGCAGCCTTGACTTCCCCAGGCTCAGGTGATCCTCCCACGTCAGCCTCCCTGAGTAGTTGTGGGTATAAGCATGTGTCACCAATCAGGCTAATTTTTATATTTTTTTTATAAAGACAGGGTTTTGCCACATAGTCCAGGCTGGTCTTGAACTCCTGGGGCTCAAATGATCTGCCTACCTCGGCCTCCTAAAGTGCTGGGAATACAGGCATGAACCGCTGCACCCAGTAGGTTTATCACTTTTTTTTTTTTGAGCTGGAGTTTTGCTCTTGTTTCCCAGGCTGGAGTACAATGGCGCAATCTCGGCTCAAGACAACCTTTGCCTCCTGGGTTCAAGCGATTCTCCTGCCTCAGCCTCCCGAGTAGCTGGGATTACAGATGCTTGACACTACGGCCGGCTGACTTTATATTTTTAGTAGAGATGGGGTTTCTCCATGTTGGCCAGGCTGGTTTTGGACTCCCGACCAAAGGTGATCCACATCAGCCTCCCAAAGTGCTGGGATTATAGGCGTGAGCCACTGCACCTGGCCTCCCACCGCTTTTTTTAATGTTCTCCTTAAGGCAAGGACTGAAAGCCCAACAGGGAAGAAGAAAATGTTATCATCCATCAGCAAAATCAGTACCTGCAGCTTAAGTGACACTCTGTTGAGTCCATAAAGAACCTATGGGGGTGACTAGAGATGCCACCAGGGAGGCCAGGCTGCTGCACTAGCCCTACCTCCATCCTGCACCATTTTGCCCATTTTGCCATGAGTCATGCTTAGGAAGGGGCAGGAGAATTGCTTGAACCCAGGAGACGGAGGTTGTGATGAGCCAAGATCATACCATTGCACTCCAGCCTGGGCAACAAGAGCAAAACTCCATTTTGCCCTGAGTCATGCTTAGGAAGGGGCAGGAGAGTGGCGGGATGACATGCCCAAGGGAAAAGCTGGTGTGATGTGGCCAGAAGTGGGTCTAGATAGAACTCTAACTACCCAGACTCCAAGCCTGCAAGGCAAGGAAGGAAACGCTGAGATGTTTTGGGGAGGGTGGGGGAAGGATGAGTTGGATTTAGATCTCCTGCTTGAGGGACCAGATGCAACCAGCCAAATGTTTTTTATTGCCTTGCCCTGTACTAAGACAGCTCAGCCAGAACTGCCTAGATCTATACTGGCCAAATGCCTTATGAAGGGAGGCTGGAGTAGGGAGAGGAATTTTTCACTTAAGCGTGCAGGCCAGCTAGGTTCTCACAGGCTGGCCAGTCCATCAAGGAAACAAGAAAGCAAGCAACCAAGCAACAAGTGTGTTTTATGACTCTGCTGAGAGGCTGGGCTCAGTGGCTCATGCCTGTGATCCCCAAATTTTGGGAGGCTAAGGTGGAGGGCTCACTTGACACAAGACCCTGTTGCTACAAAAAAAAAAAAAATAAAAGAATCTTCTGTGTATCAAAACGATCTTGAAAAAGAAAACAAAATTGGAGGACTCACACTTCCTGATTTCAAAACTTACTACAAAGCTATAGGAATAAAGACAGTGTGGTACTGGCATAAGGAAAGACACAGATCAACAGAGTCCAGAAACACTCCCTCACATTTATGGTCAAATGATTTTTGACAAGGGTACCAAAATAACTGGAGGAAAAAAACAGTCTTCTCAACTAGTTTTCCTGGGACAACTGGATATACACATGTGAAAAAAATGAAGTTGGACCCCTACCTCACACCATATACAAAAACTAACTCAAAATGTATTGAAGATCTAAATGTAAGAGCTAAAACTAGAAAACTCATAGAAGAAAACACAGGAGTAAATCTGTATGACCTTGAATTAGGCAACTATTTCTTGGATATGACATCAAAAGCACAAGCAACATTAGAAAAACTGGGCTTTGTCAGGATGGGTGCAGTAGCTCAAGCCTGTAATCCCAGCACTTTGAGAGACTGGGGCAGGTGGATCACCTGAGGTCAGGAGTTTATAGGTCAGTTTCCCCTGACCAATATGGGGAAACCCCATCTCTACTAAAAACACAAAAATTAGCCAGGTGTCACGGTATGTGACTGCAGTCCCAGTTACTTGGGAGGCTGTGGCAGGAGAACTGCCTGAATCTGGGAGGCAAAGACTGCAGTGAGTGAGACTGTGACACTACACTCCAGCCTGGGTGACAGAGCAAAATTTCATCTCAAAAAAATGGGCTTTGTCAAAATGGAAAACTTTTGTGCCTCAAAGTAACACCAAAAGAAAATGAAAGGACAAATCACAGGAAGGGAGAAAATAGGTAAAAATCCTACCTGACAAGGA